AAACACTTAATCAAACGGATGAAACAGTCGCGATGATTCCAGTAAGGTTGAACAGTAGCGACGTCTCTAGCGTCCACGCGAGGGCAACATCGCCCGGAAGGCGGCACGGAACTGACTGCTCTTTGAAGCATATATGAAAAAGTTCATGCAAGAGTTTGAGTACGCCAGCAGGTAGCCGAGGCCTCGCGCCACGCCGACCGTGTCGTGGTAGACGTCGGCGACGCTCAGCAGCATCAGGATGAAATACGGAGCCCAGCAAACGAAGAAAGCGCCGACGACGATGCCAAACGTCTTGGCAAGCTTCAGATGCTTGGCGAGCTCAACAGAGAAAGATTTTCCGGTCGCTCCTGCTTCCTGCAAACCGCTGTTGCACGGTTCCTGGTGGATCTGCTGCTGGTGGTGCCTGGCAATTATCATCATGTAAGCGTAGATGGAGATGATGGCGACGCCACACGTACCAATAACTAGCGAGCTACAGATGAGAGATGTTCTACTCGTGACGGTGTCATACATGCACGGTTGATCCGGCTGCCAGCGGTTGCCAATGAGAGTCATCACGCTTGCGAAGAAGGCAAAGCTCCAAGCGAGAACTACCATTACTAAGATAACGCGCGGTGTGACGATCTGGTAGTAGTGTAACGGTCGCGATATTGCAATGTACCTGTCTACGTTGATGGCAATGAGAGAGTTTGTTGATGAAAGGGCCCAGAGCGTAACCAAACTGAAGTGTCCAAGGCATATGATCTTTGGCGGGAATTCGATTAGAAAGGTCGTTGGTGATACGAAGGTTCCTTGCACGCCCATGAAAAAATCGGTGACAGCCAAGTTTGCGATCAGCTTGTGTGCCGGCCACATTCATTTATTTCATACCCAGTAGTGTCTCCCCCTCTCCCTCTCAGCAATTCTATACATGAATGATATTTCTATTAGCTGTCACCATGATGCAGAAATGACCACGCCACGCCAACTCCGTGACACTATAATGTCACGACACACACTGACGATTCAAATATTATTGACGTATATTATAGGTAGTAGTGTCCCCTTATTTCTCTTTCTCTCTCTCTCTCTCTCTCTCTCTCTCTCTCTCTTCCTCCTTTCGCGCTCTCCCAATAATTGCAATTCCGAGCCTCATTTTCCTTGCAGTATTATCTCGATACGAGTTACATAAATAAATGCCATGCTATTATATTGCTTAACTGTAAGAATTTCTATTGGAACGTTTCGTCCATTTCCTAAATAGTGTAACTAGCGTGATGCGGGGTATTGTTGTACCTACTTACTTGGACTTATCGTGTGAAGCTACTAGCCACATTGCCACATCCAATAGAAGAGACATTAGCAGTTGGCGCGTGCACAGCTTAGACTACCCCCAGCTGTCAACCCTCCGCTACAAGAAAGCATGAATCTTGGTAATAGCCTTCACTAATATGAAACCTGGTGGCGATCTATGCGATGTAAACATTTTCCGATATAGAAGCATTCGCAAAACTCACTGAGAAGATTTTAAACCATATTTAACGGCACATCACACGTTCTTTAGTGTCCAACGCGTTGGCAACACTGCCCGGAAAGCGGCGCGGAACTGCCTGATTTTTGAGGCATATATGTAAAAGTTTATGAAAGAGTTGGAGTCTGCCATCAGATAGCCGAAGCCTGTCGCCACGCCGAGTGTGTCGTGGTAGACGTCGGCGACGCTCAGCAAGATCAGGAAGAGGTACGGAGTCCAGCAGGACGACGAAGGCGCCGACGACGATGCCAAACGTCTTGGCCAGCTTCGGATGCTTGGCGAGCTCAGCAGAGAAGGATTTTTTGGCGCTCCTGCCTCCTGCAAACCGCTGTTGCTCGGTTTCGGGTGGATCTGCTGCTGGTGGTGCTTGGCAATCATTATTATGTAAGCGTAGATGGAGGCGATGGCGACGACACATATAACAGTGAAAACCGAGCCAGAGATGACAGCTCTTTTACTCGAAACGATGTCATAGATGCATGGTTGATCCGGCTGCCAGCGGTTGCCAATGAGACTTAACACGCTTACGAAGACGGCAATGACCCAAACCAGGACTACCATTAACAAGATAACGCGCGGTGTGACGATCTGGTAGTAGTGTAGCGGTCGCGATATTGCAATGTACCTGTCTACGTTGATGGCAATGAGCGAGTTTGTTGATGCAAGGGACGAGATCAAAACCACACTGAAGTGTCCAAGACATATGATCTTTGGCGGGAATTCGATTAGAAAGGTTATTGGTACGATGAAGACTCCTCGGACGCCCATGATGAAATCAGCGACAGCCAAGTTTGCGATCAGCTTGTGTGCCGGCTCCTGCAGGTGTGATGTCCGTGTCACAGCCAAGATGACGAGAAGATTAGCAAGTATGTTGAGCAAGTTGACAGGAATCAGCAGGTAAGCGATCCACGTTTGAATCGATGCAACCGTTTCTTGCTCAACGTCCGACTCCATGCAGCCGACCAAGCTCCCATTCTCGGACACGGACCCGGATATGTTGCACAGTAAACCATTAGCTGTCGCCATAATGCAGAAATAACTCTCACTACGCCAGCTCCGTAATGCTACTATGACGTGCCACGACGCATACTGCCGCGTCGAATTACATTTATGCCTTTTATACTTAGTAATGTCCCCTGTCACCTTCCCAGCAATTCTATAAATAAATGCTATTTTCATCGGAGTATCATTAAGCTACTGTGTTATATAATTAAGTGTCTTCTATTATATCGATTAGCTGCGACAATTTCTATAGGAACGTTTCGTCCTTTCTTCCTGAATCATTTAACTCGCGTTATGCGGCGTATTGTTGAACCTACAAACGGAGACATGCCCTAAAAGCTAAATGGTAAAAGGAACATTTGCAGCTGGCGCATGGACAGCTTAGACTGTTCCCAGCTGTCGACCCTACGCCACGAGAAAGCAAGAATCTTGGCAATAGTCTTTTCTAATTTGAAACTCGGTAGCAGACTATGCGATATAAACTTCTTTTTTTATCACAAGAAAGTTCCACAACATGAATAGAAATAAAGTTTTATACATTTCTGCACGCGATATAATGCCAGATCATCTAACGGCACTTGAGTGGTTCATGCAGTACACTTCGATCGTCGTTATATTTAAAGCTACCCAAAGGTTTCGGCTACAAGCAGCCCTTGCATTGAATTGTACACGTTTTTTTTGTGGAAATGGAAACGTTTCCGTTCGCAAGATGACCCGAGCCATACCGATGCCGCAGCCGCTTGTAGTCTGCTTCACGCGATCTATGCGACATGAAGGTTACACTGGCAACCAGGGGCCCGTTGTCAGAAACTTCGTAAAGTTAATGCTAATGTTAATGCCAACTAGACAGAGGGCACTCACGCGATGAAGAAGGGAGATGACGACTAGAGGCGGCGAAGGACGGATGGAAATGAAGAAGGAAGGGGACGGAGAGCAGGAAAGGGAGAGAGAAGGGAGAGAGGAAAAAACGCAGCAGAGGAGGGCAGGAAAGAGGAGCGAGAAGGGGGAAATGTAGAAGGGGAAGCGGCCAGGGATGGAGGAAGGAGAAGAAGAAAGAGGAGGAGAATAGGCGAGGAGAGGGAGAAACCGAAGTGATCGTGGTGAGGCATGATGTAACAAGTAGTACAGCAAATAAGAAGGAAAAAATCTATATTATATGTACTCTTGATTGTACATGCAGCAGCTGTGGTATAAAGCTAGCTTATTACCATATATGAGTTTAGATATAACCCTCGCCTGCTTCTAAAAAAAAAATACTAAACTAGCCGCATATTGACATTAATAAACTCATAATAGGTTTGTTTAATTCCTTGACTGCCTGATTAGTGCACAAGAATTTAAAGGGCTATCGCTGAGCGCCATCTATAAAGATCGCGTTAATAGTAAAATAAATCGAAGAACCTGCGAGTAAACAGCTTAAGAATCCTCAAAAAATTTCCTGCATAAAAATGTTCGGACCGTACGACAATCCGCGTAACAAATGTTTTTCCTTCATCTCAGGTCAGTGATTATAAGCAGATCGAGCCCATAGAGTCAAAAGCTGGTAAGACATGTCACAACTCAAGTCTCCTATTAAAGTAGTGGGAAGCGTTATCTTAGAATAGCAGAGAGGGAATAGCAAAAGAGAGAAAGAGAGAGGGGAGCGAAACACAACCACACACCACACACACACACAACACACACACACACACCACACAAACACAAACACACACCGCCACACACACACACAACACGCATCACACCACTACACACACAACACACCACACACAACCACACACACACACACACATACACCACACACCACACACACACACACACACACACACACACAACACATATATATATCATCACACACATCACACACACAACACACACACAACACACACACACACACAACACACACACACACACATATTATAATATATTAATCAAACCCACCACCACACACACACCACAAATACACACACAACACAACACACAACACACACACAACGCAAACCCACGCCCCACGTACGCACGCACACGCACGACGCAAACACATACACACAGAGAGAGAGAAAGAGATGAGAGAGAGATAGAGAGAGGAAGAGAGAGAGAGAGAGACAATCAATAATCGGGTAACTTCATCAGCGGGGCATTCCCTCATTTCCATCACGCAAGTGTCAGGGAACACCCGTTCCCAGCGCCGCAAATGCGATATCAAGAACTCCCGTAAAAATGCGCAGGCCGTTTATGTTTGAGTTTCGTGTAACTCACTGTAATAAAGTTTTAAAGCTCTTATAACTCCTCGCAACGCCATGAATGGTAGCGAGGGTGGAAGAGTTGGATTTGTCAAGAGCGCTCTTTCGCCACCCCTGCCCTCGTGGCGTACGTATCGACCCCCCCACACACCCCTCCCCGCTGGCAGTCATACATTAATACCATATACCGCCGCCCATGGTTCCAGAATGTGGTGTGCTGCTTGGATAAGTAGAACTGCATGGATGGCGGAGGCCACGGACACCACA